GCCCCCCATCCCCAAAAGTTTCTCAGCGGATTTGGGCTGTACTCAGCAAGCGCAGTACAGCCCCCAACTCCAATTTGAAAAAAAATCAGTGGATGGCTGTTTTCGGACTGGTCGGCAGACCACCGACCGGCCGGCCCTTCTGGTCGGCTGCAAAACGATCGGCGGTCGGCAGGTATGCAACCCTGCCACACACCATAAACACTGCGGACCTTGGTGGCAAAGACTTAACCACCTCCTGCTCGTCTTCCCCCCGGCAAGTCAAGAATATACATCATTTACAGACCTACACATCCTTCCATTTGATCGAAGGATCCACTAACAACATTTTTTTTTTTTTTTTTTTTTTTTTTTTTTTTGATCCACTAACAACATTGATTACCACTCACCAAGAAAAATAGGGACACCGGCCATCTAGTCGCTTGTGATGGCCATTTCTTTCATTGGGTATAGGGCCTTGCCGCACTACTCACCAAATACAAAGACGACAAAAATTATGGCAAGTGCATCTTTCCAGGTTCTAGCGAAAGATTCCATCTCATTTCGTACATTTGGTTGGCGACTGCCGTGGCGAGGCGCATGCTCACACTGGGACTTTTCAACTTACCTGCGGACGTAATTGCAGTTAGGTGCATCCAGGTTGGACTGTAAAAGAGGCCAGATGCATCCAGGAAAGTCCTCATGTGAGTATGCTGCGAGTCTTACGCGCTCAGGCCCCAGTGCGCAGCTGCACTTTCCTGTCCTTTCTTTTCCCCTTTTTTTTTGAAGGGCAGCAGCCTTGAGATATCATCATTGAACTGACCGGCCCGGCAACTCAGAAGGATTTATTAAGTTTTGTTCTGTTAATCTGATTGCTAGATGACCTGCTGCAGCTTCGCTAGCAAGAAAATAGGAGAGGGAATACTACCGATAGGTCCGATACTATTTTGTTTCTTTTCCTGTGAGCGTTTTCGTTGAGAAGCAACGTCCCTTGCTCTGCACTGTGACCCACACAGTTGCAGTCTGGGAAATCGGAACTTTTCAGAAAATGCAGTCTCGTTTATGTGTTTGCTCAAGATTACGATACAGAGTCTGTTTGTCGTGTTCTCTGGATACGTTTCTGATCAACCAATCTTGTATGTGACTATTTGTGAGCGTGTGTGTCGGAGTGCATGTATATGTGTACGTGTGTGTGTGTGTGTGTGTGTGTGTGTGTGTGTGTGTGTGTGTGTGT